GCTGAGCTTGCGGCCTTCAACAAATCGCGCCACTGTGAGAACCACCAGTCGTTGCTGCCCTCGAAAGGCGGTGTGCACCGGCTGGCCAGACCACCGAGAGAGCAGCTCCTGAAGTGCATGGGATCCACCTGTCGTTGGAGCTGGCAGCAAAGCGAGCGGACCTCCCGCATCGGTGACCTCAGTAGTGTTTACATCCCTGACTTCCCAGGGTCGTGCAATCGGAAAGGCGGTAATGCCTGCAAATAAGGCCACTAGAAACTCCGAAGCATCTTGTTGTTGGCCATCATAGCGCCAAGCGGGAGTAAGATGGCGAAGCGTGAAAGAGGCAGTCAGGGTGAAAGGAGAACCAGAGACAGAATCAGCCACTTCCTGATGGAGGGAGGTGCTTGCCCCTCCGTGCTCCAGCAAGATGCACGTCGGCACCAGGGCCGAAAGCGTTGAGTTAACATAGCAGTAGTTGGAGATGTTGCGCAGCGAGCGAGGAGCAGCGAGCGCGCCGTCCTTTGATTCTACTGTCCCTGACTTCGGTGGCAGGGGGCCTGCAGGCGTTGCCTGGCGAGTCTGGGGCGTTGCTCCAACAGCGGTGGTATCGTCCCGTGTGGGTGCGTTGCCTTGTGTCGTGCCAACCGCTGGCATGTACCTGCGTAACGGTCCGCCCTGGCAGCGGGAAAGTGCATGAACCAAGTCATAAAACAGAATCTGAAAAAGGATCGGACATTGTGCCGGATGCTGCCTCTTATCCGTAACAGGCTTGCGGCAGCACGGGCAAGGCATGCCCTTGACAAGGGTCAGGCCTGATTTGCTGCTCTGAGTTGCAGCTGTAGCGCCATGAGCCGCCCATTCAGGTTTGTGGGCCTGCCGGATGTGAGACTTGAGCTTGGTATTGTCCGGGGTCCAGAACCCACACAGCAAGCAATGTGACATAAGGTCCTGAGACTCATCAGATCGTCCGAGCTCCACAGCCGTGTGTGTTGTCAGAGTGTCATGCAAGCGCTGCTGCCTGGGATGCAATCTGGGCTGATGCTGCGAATCCAAGGGAGGGTGCGCCGCGTCATCCAGCTCCTGTAGCCTAGCTGGCTCCGAGCAGGCACCTGATAGCAAGTGGTCCTTTAAGCCCTTCATCTGAGGGAATTGCCTGTTGCAGGCCGCACACTTGGGGAGCCCTCCTACAGAGAGGGTGTGGGAGAAGCCTCGAGGGACATATCTGATGACCGAGCCTGGATGCTTGCGGGCCTGGTGGGTGCGAAGACCGACCTCAGTGTCAAAGGCCTGAGCACACGTTGGGCACACGAAGGACGGGGGGGCCTCCTGCTGTGATGTGTCCTTAGAAAGTTGCTGCAGAACGTCTGCATAACTAGTAGAGAGTGCCTCCGCCTGGAGAAGCGCGCGCTGGGTTAAAGAGATGTCCCCCGCAGGAGTTTTCCGCCGTCGAGCACCTAAGCGCTTGACACGATTGGCCTGTCGCGCCTGCAGCTTACGGACAGGGTCCATGATCTCATGGGAGGCGTAGAGGTCAGCCGTGGATATGTGTGTCAGGTGCGCTGGCTTGTTCAGGACAGCTCGAATTTTGCGAGCGTGCCAAGCCCGCAACAGTTTAGCTGTCTCTAGGGTCAAGCCCACATCCACCAATCCAGAGGCTACTGTGGCCCAGACAGTGCTATGCCAAATGTGCAACCGCGATGCAGGCCCCGCCGTTCGTCTGTTGTGAACGAAGCGGCGTACCTGCTGCAATTTCACATTGCCCTCCTGCAACCGGAACTTGAGAGTAGCCTTCTCGAAGTTGGAGTAGGAGAGCATGACGCCGAGATACTTAAAGGAGGTCACCAGCGGAAAGCCCTCGTGAGACTTGGACTCTCCCAGTCTCCACATCTTATGGCGGGTTCCGTCAGGCGCGGTGCGCCAATAAGTGTGCTTGGAGATGGCGCGTTGCGCCTGTTGGCCCTCGAGTTTGACCATAACAGTGCATTTTGCACCGTTGACAGCAAATCCATGGCGACGGACCAACTGCAACAATTGCTCAATCAGAGCATGAGCGCGATCCAGGTCCTCCATTGAGTGGATGTCACGGTGAACCGTAAGGTCATCTGCGTAGCCCGTGAGGTAGTCCACCACGGCTCGAACCCCAACAAGAGCTATGAGCTCCCGGAAGATGGTGCCCGTAAGCATGGAAAAAAGTGTGGGGGCAAGCTTACACCCCTGTTTAATGCCCGCAGTGGACTGGACCGTGTCCTCTTCACCCTGGGTGCGAAACGTGTAAGCACTGCCAGCATGCAATGAGGCAACTAGGTCAATGAGGTCTTGCGGGACTCCCGCTTCCTGCAGTGTGCTAAGCAAGTCTGTTCTGCTCACCATGTCAAAGGCTTGTGACAAGTCTAGTGCAAAGCAGATGCCACCTACTAGCTGGGGACGAGTTCGTCCCGAGTGAAGCTGATGCCTGGTTCGTCGGGCCTCCTGGCAGTTATTGCGTACCTGAGTGACATGACCAACGACCCTGCTCAAGGCATCTGAAAGACCGCGATGTGGCTGGTAGGCAAATTGTGGGAGACCCCGAAGATAGTCAGCCGTGTAGGGAGACAGCTGATCTCTACAAGCCCCCGCCAGGCCCTTGCCGTCTGGTCGAATGATGCCGAGGGGACGTAGATTGCCAGGCTTCGTGGCCGGCTTGTTAGGCTTTGGGATAAAACACAAGTCAGCATCCTTTAAGGGCGGCTGAAGTACCTCAGCAGCCGGCAATGGGCGTTGCCCCCGAGATTGCAGCGATGCTGCTAGCGCCTCTCCCGCAGCCGCCGAGCAGAGCCGCCAGGCAGCCGCCGGAGCAGAGCCTTGCGGTACCGCCTTGTGCGGTCTGATGGAGCCTATGTGCTTGGCCAGCAGACCAGCCGGGATTTCCGGCAGCGAGTCCACCTGGTGTGCGAGTGGCGGATGTCTGGCAAAGACCTGTTCCACGTGGTCTCTAAGCAGGCGGAGCTCAGAGGTAGAGTCCAACAGCAGACCATCCGGTCCCTGAAGCTGTGCCTTAGTTTGGGGTTCCCAAGGTCGGAGCTTCTTTAAGGTCTTATGTGCGATGTAGGAATCGTGTCTGGCACACGCCTCATCGACCTCAGCCTGGAAAGCTCGGTGTCGTTCCTTCTTGGCTAAGTAGAGAGCCTGCTTATGCCATCGATTCAGGTCCTCCAAAGACTGATCTAGGTCGGATAAGGTGGTTATGGAGTCCTCATGCAAAGAACGAATATGAGCGACTCGACTCCACATTCGCAGCGTCGCACGGTGCTGAGCAGTTTCAGGAGCTTGCTGAGGCCGTGGTTTGGGGAAAAACAGTGCAGAGGCCTCCAGCAGTACCTGATTAACTTCATCAGGCGTGTGAGTCCGAGAGGACAGACGCTGGCCCACCCAGTCTTGCATGCGACCGGCTATTGGCAGACCTGAACGGACAGCCGTCTCTAGAGCTTCCTTATGAAAGGTCGTGGAAGGACAAGTAGGCTTTGGCAGATTCCAGTGCTGGGTGGGTCTGAGTTGAGCCAAGACTGGAAGGTGGCCGCCCCTCTTCCATTTGCCGAGCTGAAGATCCTTGCACGGCCGAGACTGCTTTGCCAGGCCCTTGGCCGAGGCTTCTGAAGTGAGCAGGAAGTCAATTTGTGATCCCTGACCATTCAGGAAGAAAGTGTGACCTGCACCACTAGACCATGTGTTAAGAGCTACCAACCGATGGGAGGAGACTAAGGCTTGGAACGATTCATCCTGCATCTGAGTTTGCTCTGGCTTGGTGCTACACTGACCTACCAGACCCTCCTGCGGGGTCAGTCGAGCATTAAAGTCTCCTGCCAAGAGAAAAGTATCTCGCGCTGGAATGGCCCGTATCGCAGCCGACAGATCGCGGAGCAGGTGTGAGCGGTCATCCTTGTTCTGCTGTGGAGTCTTCTTAGAAGACCAGGCATGTTGGTAAACCGCTAGTACATGCACACGAGCCCCAAGCCACGGGAAGATGACCTGAATGAGCCTTCCCCGGCGTTGCTCGCGCCATCTTATCTTCTGCTTGTCTATCTGCGGAGAGAGAAGAACCATGACGCCGTCCGCTCGGCTTGTGTCGTGAACAGCCGGCTGCGTGGCAGCGCCTTGCTTGGGGCGTTGCCCTGAAGTGGCTTTACCTTTAGGTGCTCGAGCAGCCCCTTTTGTGGCGGAGCTTACGCAGTGCCAGCCTTCGACATCAAATTCTGCTGTCTCACTCCAGTGGGTTTCCTGAAGGACAAGAATGTCACAGACTGACTTGGCCTCCGTGCGAAGCCATGTCTTCACTTCTGCCCATTGTTGCATGCCAAGGTGCCCTGCATTCCAGGAAAGAACACGAAGAGACTTGCTGGCACGACCGCCTCTCGGGCGCGAGCGGAAACTGGCGGAGAAACCTGAGGGACCTGAAGGAGAAATCGTGGAGCTAGGCTGCACTGGGAGGGGGGGAGGGGAGGGGGGGGTGAGTCCACTGCGACGCAGATGTTCAGGCGTCAACGTACCATTCCGGTACGGGATGCTTTCTTGTGTTCTATGAACCTTATTGCAAGCCTTGCGAAAGGCCTTCTTGCGAATGCTCTCAAATGAATGCTGGTGCATTGGCGATTGCGCCGTCCGCTAGTTTCGCCGGAAAGAGAGAACTCGAACCGACTCCTTTCACCCTGCGGAAAAGGTGAAAACCACTACCGCTTACCTCATGCCAAGGTTGTATAACTGCAGACAGAGGTCCGGGAATTGGGACCCGGTAGATCACAGCGACACGCGGCTCCGGGAACAGCTATGGCTCAGTAAGAGGACGGTCCCTTAAGCTTCGCAGAAGGGGCACGTTGCGAGCCTCTAGCGTTGGTACCCAGAGCCTTGTTAGCAAAGCTACACAGCCTGCTGTGATCCATAGCGGCTACAACAACAACAACAAGAACAGCAGCAGCAGCAGCAGCAGGTTTTTTGCTGGGCCAAGACTGTAAACGCCCGCTCACCGATTGAAGCCGGGTCGGGTCCTTCCGCCTTTACCTGGAGCCGACTCCGGCCTGCCGGAATCTCCTGCCAAATCAGCGCTCGGATGGTATGCAAGACACCAAACACCAGCAGCACAGCATTGACACTGGAAGATAAGTGACTGCCCACCTTCAACCCTTCCGTCGGCAAAAGCAATGAGATTTCCGGCCGCATCAGATGGGAGGTGCGCGAGGAAGCGATGCCTGTCGACAGCCGTGGCGTTCAGAGCCCAGCAGTGCTTTGGTGACTTCAGCGGCCAAGTCGTCGGGGCTCCCGTGTGAATTCGGCTCTGTGAGTTAGTTGTGCTTGAGAACTGACGGCTCGCACTGCAGTTGTCGCGAAAAGAAACTGGACTTACGTCATGAGTTCCATGCCTTCGGTTTCACCCCTCCGCTACGGCCTGCCTGAATGCACCAATCCATTATGGAGAATGGCCTCATATGGCCTGCCTAAGCGGTACGAAAGATCAAAGAAAAGGTTTGCTTCGGGGTGCTGAAAGTCTCATATCTCCATCTCACCATGTCGACCTTCTGCTTCCTCCCTGTCGCGCCCCCCAACCTCCCCCCGGTTAAAAAAAACACAACAAACTAGTCGAAGAAGTAAAAGCGCGGTTGCCGGAAGCAAATCAAAGCGGAGATGGAAAGCAAGAAATGCCAGCGCCAGCAGCCCCCACTCCAATCTCGAAGGAGCACGCATAGTTGACTGTAGACCCAGGCCCGGAACGCACTCATCGAGCACCCAACCAAAGCCCTCAGTGCCTTTGCTTCATTTGATCTGTCAGCGGCTCCTCAGCAGAAGTCTCGAGTCTAGCGATGAAACTGGATGTAACTTACCGGTCCCCGGGCGTCGCCTCTGCCTTTGCCTGCAGCTCCGTAGCCTCTACACCGTCTACAAGCTCTACGCATATCTACACTGCACTCTCAGCAAACACCTGAGGGATGTTCACTTACGCAATCTTAGTCGTCTGCCTTCTGCCGTTCTACCGGCGCAGCTCTTCACGGCTGTTCTCTGCGCACTTCTCCCTGCCATCAATCCAGGAAAGGACTTTCATTGATCGGTCCCGATTTGTCCTGTCGCATGGCCCGCAGCGGCCGCAGGGTGACGCTTGAAGGCAGGTGAGCCCAATTCCTGCCATATTCAGCATAAATTCAGGACTCGTCTGCTCACGGACGTGCATGCAACATCCGTTTTGCAGAAAAGACGACAAGCCCGAATCTCGAACAACACAGGTTGCACATCAGCCGAACCGTCAAACGAAACAACACAACCGACACATGCCGCAATGGACTTAGACTTGCTTCTGAAAAGCAATGCTTCAGATTTCGCCGAAGCCCACCTGTGCTCGGAGAGAAGCTGCTTCATCAAGTAAGGCTCGAGAAAAATTAGCTGCCTGGAGAAGCAGTCAGACTGTGCAAGCTTTCATGTCGAAACCCTTTTCTGAAGACAGCTGTACTTGTTGCATAAGCAGGTCCGCACGGACGAAGAGCCTTGAGAGTCTGAAACTCTGAGGAGCGAGATACTACTAGTTACTAGTACAGTAGTCACTGTCTTCGGTGATGCCATCCTGTGTCGAAGGGGCGTTCATAACATGTTGACAAATCCATTGAATATCCCCCGATTCTCTCCTTCTTTCCAAGGTGGCTGCACAAGCCAAGATGCCCGTCGGAGCTTTGATAGAAGACCAGGGTCTCGGAACCTTTTCAGTGTATGTTTGAAGGTCTCTTAGTACAGCTGGCAGAGAAGCAAGCTGCCCGGATTGCAGAGTTGAAACAATCCCGCTACGCTGAGAGAACCTCTGACCCCAGCACACCTGAAGTCCGAGCCGAGGAGCTGGAAGACTCGCTGGATGCATCTTTCAAACCTTGTGCACCTTTCCTAGCATCAGGAGAGCTCGAGGCTATCTGCAGACTGGGGCGGTCTGTAGAGAGGTCTTCCGGGCCATGGACTCAGCCAAGACAAGTCCAGCTACACTGCAGCTAACATCAGATCCAGTCCAAAGCAGGGATTCTTTTGCTTCAATCGGCTTCCCGGGCCCCCTGCCCAGGCGACACAAGCTGTGTTTGAAGTGCCTCGGATCAGAGGAAAGGGGCTTCCCGGCCGCAGCCCATGGCACACTGGATGCAGAGCGAGGAACTTCGATGGCAGACCTCGCCAGTGGAGCCTGCTCACATTGTCTCTGAAACATTGCACCGGGTACCGGGTGCAACAGCAGGCCAGGCCGGCCTCCTCACCGCCGGCGGCAGCCGCAGACTCCAGCACCCGCAGATCTGCGCACCACAGAAAACCCAAAGCACCACAGCGAAAGCCCTCGCTCCCGGCCTTCGTGGAGGCTGCTGAGGTACAGCTCGGGATCGCCGAAGATTCGGCGAGCGAAAATGGCTCCTTCCCAGCCAAAGCGCACACACACACACACGGCCGAATTCAGAGCTGCAGCATGCTGCAGCTTCAGAATATGAGCTTGGCTTGCTGTCGGAATGCGGTTCGCCTGGGGCAGCAGTTCCTGGTCTACGTCTCAGGCATCCAGCTCTTCCAAGTTTCACTTCTCGAGGCCATTCAACCCCAGAAGCCCCCAAAGACCTGTCGCCCTGCACTGCAATGGTGCCAGTGCAATCACAATAGTAGCAACCGCAAAAAGCTCAGCTTCAAATCCCCCCAAAGCCCCTTTTTCTGAATTTTCTCACATTCTCGGTGTGCGGCCTGGCTCGCCCTCCTGGGGGAGATGCGGCTGGCAGCCACGCGGCAGCGTGTCGTCTGGGTGTGTTGGGGGTGGGTGTTTGGGGAGTTTGAGGTTCAGGGCTTGGGGGCTTTGCTAGTGGGCTTTGCCCTGTGGTCCGCACAGGGTCTAAGCCCTGAGCCCTCGCAAGAAAACTTTCAACAGCGGCATGCGAGACGCCTAAGACCAGAATGCGCCATAGGCAAGAGAACAAGGTACCTGACCCCTTCCATCCCCTTCCGGTCTTTCAAGCGAGGCACCCGCGAGACTCAGGTAGTGAAGGCCAGTTCTTCGCACCAGTGTGAAGACCAGGGAGCCGCCTTCCTCCTGCAAAAGGGGGGGCTAGAGGAGGCCGGGAAGGGGAGCCAGGGAGCCCTCAAAAAAGTGCGCTCGTCGCGGGAGCTCCGGCTTTGGCAGGTGCTGAAGCTCCAGGCGAACAGGGCGCAGGTCTTCCAAGCGCATGGCCTCGACAGGGTGTTCCAGTCAAGTCACTCCAAACAAGGACACACTTCAGGACGCTTCAACGGGGAGCAGCACGATGTCGCTGCCCTGGCCTGGCTGCACACCGGGCATTTGCAAGCCTCGCCCAGAGTTGCCGCATGTTGCTGAAACGAGGTAAAGGCCCACAGTCCAAGGGCACCGGCACCTTCAGGGAGGCCTTCGACCAAGCGGCCGCCTGAGAGGCCTGGTGGTGCCGAAGGGCCTCAGTCCCAAGACCCAGCAAGACCCAAGCCACAAAGCCCCAGCTACCAGGCTAGGGCGGCTAGGGGGCTACACTGCTACACGCCAAGGTACGCAAAGGTAACAGATCACGTGGCCACAGGGAGGCGTCCGGATCAGCTCCGGCTCGCCTCGGCTTTGCGGCACGAAGCGTCCCTCTCCCTCCCTCTCCCTTTCTTTCGCCAGGGCTGTGGTGTAGGAGTTTTACCCCCTACACCGCGCGTCCGCGGCCTCGACTGTTGCGGGACGCTTATGTTGCAAGAGGTGCCATCGGCACTTACCAGTAAATGTTGCACAGCTTCCCTCGGCAACTGGATTACCCTCTCCCTCTCCCTCTCGCTCTCTCTCTGCCTTCTCTCTCTTCGGAAGATCACCTCTCGGAATTTCTCTGCTTAGGAGCCGAGGCAAATAGGGCACGTCGGCATCTCCTCGGAAGCCTTTGTCGCAGGCGCTGTAGCGGTTCTTCTCACATGGGATGCCGCCGGGCCCTGCCTCGCAGGGCATGTCCACGCGCCAGACGTGTTGCCAGAGCTCGCTCCCTGTCAAAGCGGCGACGGAGGCCGGACTGCCTGTGCTTGGAACGTGGCTGAGTTCGGAGATGGATCGGGGGGCGGCAGGTATCCGTGGTTGACTGCGCGGCATGTGGAGCTGTTGTCGAGCCTTTGGCTAGACTGGCGTCCAAGACGAGGCGACAGCTGCCACCTGGGTCCATTGAAAGACCGCTCTCCTCTTTCACTCGCCTTCTGGCCCTGGCCCTCTCCAAGTTCTTCGACTAAGTCTTCAGTCTTCAGCCAAGACCACGGCACCACGGCACAAGCTACACAAGCTACAAAGTTTCTATGATTCTATGAGCCTCTTCCGACTCAGAAGACACGGACTCAGGAGCCGACGGACGAAATCCTCCGGGACAGGTCAGCAGGACGGCATGATCTACCCGGGCGCTGCCCTCCCCCCTGTGCCGCCGCAACCGTCGCGTCCTGCTTCTTCGAGCTCCACCAGTTCGTCGTACGGCGAGGACCGGAGGCCTTCATGCTTGGCGTTAAAACAAGCGCTTTCTCCAGATGCCCGGCGATTCGAGGATATACGCAACGAAGCATGAACTCCGAGTGGATGACAGCTCTACACATTGCATCACGGGTGTGTGACAAACAAGAGCTCAGTGTACGCGAGCCATCTGAAGACAAGAAAAGCCGGGCCTTCGGCTTGGCTGTGTAACCCTGGTAGGCCAAGAGATGGTTTGCCGGGAGCCTGTGCAGCAAGAAGCATCTGGGTGCAGCGATTCACGTTTGATACTTGTTTGATCCTCGAAATGCCCAACGTGGAAACGGACCAGCATGGAGCAATGGAGCATCACACGCCATAGGCATCATGGAGGCACTCTTAGCACTTCGCAAACTTCTCAAGACTGGCGATGCCTTTTCTGCCTGCCTCTGTACTCTTCTCCCAGGTTTGCCAAGCCCTGTGCAGCCAGGCTGCCAGGCTTCATTGCGCTTCACCGCTTTGGCCTTCAACAAGACAGGAAGCATCGAAGCACCCCTTTGTTTCTCGAGAATCTTTGCGGTTTCCTTCATTCAATGTCTCCGAGCGGCATAGGCTCTAGCCTGCCTTGCGAGACCTGCTGTCGCATTAATATGTAAGCACCAGAACAACCGAAGTAAGGAATGACATTTTATCGTGACCAGTGAAGACATGCGAACATGCCAAAAGGAATGCAAATCACCAAATCACAAACAAACCTTTGCAGGAACCGAGGCTTCGCACGAGCGTCGGAGCCTGGTCCACTACAACCGATGCACCAGGCACAAAAGAAGAGAAGCCTTTGTCCGGCATGGCGCTGGAATTGTGGCACAAGGGCAGCCGCCCCTGTTGTCCGCTTTTGTGGACCGTAGCTGGGAGCGGCGCTGACGCTATGCAGGGAACCGGAACCGTTGCAACCGCTCAATCGCGGCGCCACACTCAACACTCTGCTCCTCTCATCTCCTTTTGAGCCCCGCCCCTCTGCCCTCCCTCGAACGGCACGCAACATGGTCGTGTCGTTGGAGGGCGGGATAGTGCGGGTATATCGGTATATCAGTATATTCATTCAAGCATCGATCCCTGCAAGATGAGGTCCAGCGTGATCGCAGGGACGGTATGCTAGGACGATCTGGCCCTGTCTGGCGAACATCTGCAATGCCTGTCTTCACCATCCCCAACCCAAGCCGACAAAAACGAAGCCGCAGGACCGGACCGCAGAGAGCTTTGAGGCTTTGGCCCCCCGCCCCCCCCGGCGCCGGCCTTAGCGGCCTTCGGCTTGGGTGAAGCCGGCGGCGGCCGGCCACGGGCACGGGCCTCCCAAGAAGGCACGGGGGAGAACTCATTTTTGCGATTCTCCGTCCGCTTCTGTCACTGCTGCGTTGAGGGGTTCATGATCTAGCCGACCAGCAGCCCTCCCTGTCCCTTGCATGTCAAGCCAAACATTACATAAAGCTTAGACGCGGGCTTGGTCTCTTTGCCCAAGGCCCTGAAAATGCTTCCTCCAATTTCACAAGGCCTTGCATCCAAAGGAGCCTCATGCCATTCACGGCAAACTTACGGCTACAACCACACAATATGCAAACACGAAGTCTGTGCATCAAGCAGCGCAGGGCTCTTTCGTGACAACACTGCAGCCGCCTGTCCGCATGCCTCACAGCTTGCCTTAGACCGCCGCATCGAACGTGACATAGGCTTGTTTTGTGCATCAGCTGCACGATAGAATTCATTCTGCCGCTGCACTTCGCGGAATTGAGGAGCCAGATCTGGTCTCTGAGTCTTTGCTCTTCGCTGCACAATGCCGGCCGAGTAGGCTGTTCACTCCCGTCGCTTGTGGCCGCAGCCCCCAACCTGCTCCAAGTTGCTCTTCCATTGGAATTCAGAAGGGTGCAGAACCTGAGCTTCACTTGCCGTGCACCAAAGTGGGGGTTGGCAAATGGATGCAGGCAGGCCGCGCACAAGTCCAACCGCTGCCAGGCCTGGCTTGCTGTCGCTGGGTCGGTGTAGGCTTCCATCCAAAAAAGGACCCTCTCGAAGGCTGTCATGGCTCTCGGGGCCTTGGTCGTTACAGCGACACCCTTGGAGTCTTGTTGGAACGAATCATCCTTGTCGCTTCTGCCTGGAGGCTTCAGCCTGAAGGTTTCGTGCACTGTTTCAGGTGCACGGTTCTCCACACCTTCCCTGTGACACCTTGCAAAAAGCACACACCACACTTCCGGGTATGCTGTCCAGCATGTACATACAGGAGCAGCAGCAGCAGCAGTGAGTGGCAGCAGCAGCAACAGCAGCGGCAGCAGCAGCGGCAGCGACAGCGACAGCGACTTACTTCTACTTTCTGCTGCTGCTGCTGCTGCTACTGCTACTGCTGCTGCTGCTACTATTGACTACTATTGACTATACTACTACTACTACTACTACTACTACTACTACTACTACTACTACTACTACTACTGCTACTGCTACTGCTACTGCTACTGCTACTGCTACTGCTACTGCTACTACTACTGCTACTACTGCTACTACTGCTACTACTGCTACTACTGCTACTACTGCTACTACTGCTACTACTGCTACTACTACTCCTCCTCCTGCTGCTCCTGCTGCTGCTACTGCTACTGCTACAACCACAATGACCACGACCACCACCATCACCACTACCACCACCGCAACCGCCACCACGGCACCACACCCAAGAAAACTCGCCAACATCATCATAGTTACGGAAAGCGTGCCCGTTCTATCACGTTGGCACACTTGGCCTTGCAGATTCGCAGACCTCGCAGGAATCCGCAGACGGCGGATTCTCCTCAGCTGCTTCGTCGTTCCATCGTCTTACAGCACGCTTCACTTGCAGGCTTGTGGATTCCGTGCTGGGCAACTAGACTTTCGGTTCCCTTCGTCTTGGCTTGGCAGCCAAGCCTTGTCATGCTCGTATTGGAGGCAAGCTTCAAATGTGCAGGCTGGACACGACCAGTTTCCGTCCATGCGCAGTGGATGGCAAGAAGAGGAGGGATTAAGAGGCTGGTGGTTGGGGGTTGGGGGTTTTGGATTGTACAGGATTGCACGTGCTGGATTCAATACGAAAATTCATGGAAGCCCACATCAAGCAAGTGAAATGTGCGAACCCTCTGATGGAAAAGCATGCATCTACAAAACCGTGTAGTAGAAAATCTTCCATGAAGATTCTACCGCGGACCATGTCGATTCTTTAGCGCTGTTTCTGGACATCATCACATGGTTCGCGCGAGCCCTAGGCTTTCTGCTGCAAGAAGCTGAACACCCTCAAGGTAATGAGTTTTGTCCCCAAGCAAAACCCCTAGATCTCGCTCTCCCTGCGACTTGCAACAATCCTAATGCAGACACAACACTTACCAACCAAGTCTGTCGAGTCATGTGTACCGGTGGCTTCCTTTGAGCCACGGAATTCAATCAGCACATGGGCTCAAAAGGGGCTTCAACAAACATATAATTCAGGGAGCTCAGGTGCTTCGTGCACACTAGCTTCGGCTGTCCAGCTCTCTGCACTTCTGCTGCGCTTCACTGCGCTGCTAGTCTGCTAGCACCTGCTCGTCTTCATGGAGACTGCACATGTGGCCCACACGGCAGGGTGGCGGGCCTCCAGGCGGCTGAAGTTCGGCGAAGGCCCTGCCGTTCCAAGAGATGGAAGCATAGCTTCAAACACTGGCTAAGGAGACTCTTAATGAATGCCAGGACTGTCTTTTCAAGATTGCTTCTACACAGTAAGAGATGCGAAGAGAGAAAGCTATATAGGGCTCATTTCTTCAGGCTGCCGTGTGAGCTTCGCCTCAGGCTCCCAGTCGTCCCAGTCCCGCCGCCCTGGCCTGAATCGGTCTTGGCGCGTTTCGACGGCTCGCCCTGCTGCCGCAGACGGAAGACGGAAGCTGCAAGTCACTCTTTTTGGGAGTATCCAAAACCACACACCAAAGGGGGCCAATGGGAAGAGGCGGAACCACGACTCAGCACATCTCATCGTCGCCGCATCGTCCCGCCTCACGCTCTGGTGAGCTGTCGATGTCGATCAACTCCAGGAGAGGCCTTGCGCGCACGCATCTGAGGAAGAAGGGCTGCAGACTGCAGGCATGCCGTCAAATTGCACCAAAAAGCTCTGCTCAAAAAACCTTGAAGACACTAAGTGAAGAAAAAAACTATTAACTGCCAGGATCAAAACTAAAGAAGCTCCTCCTGGGAGCCGAAGACGGACACCAGGGTCTTCCAATGGTCTCGGGCTATTGAGGATGGGATCACCCTCTTTCCGGTTCTTTGTGGCCTGGCGGCGGCAGTCGCGACCTGGGCACCAAACTTCAAGCCCGGAAGGATATGAAGGCCAACTCAACCGCGATAAAACCTGCCGTAGACTGCCGTCCCGGTTTGTCTGCAAGGCAACTGAGAACAGTTGCTGTGACAAAGGCCAGGTGACTTCGACGGGTGTTTTCCCGTCACTGTTGCGGGCCGTGGTATCAGCGCGGCAGGACAGCAGGAGGCGGATGGTCTCCAGGTGACCTTCACAGGCTTCAGAAGAGGTCTTACCCTCACAGGTCGGCACAGCGCTTGGCTTGCCCCCCCTCCACCATGATCACAATCAAGACAACATAAATAAACTGCTGAAAACTGCACCGAACTCTGTTGAGCAGTGAGCCCGAGCATCCAAGGAGGCGAGTTCCAAAGCAAATGCACAAGACCAAAGAATGCGCTGCCTCAGAGGCCCCAGCCCAAATGCGACCCAACCGGTCCAGCTTCACCGCAATCATTCGGAAATCTACTCGGAGTCACCAGGGCCTCTGCTCGAGCTCATCATCCTTAAACCCTACTTTAGGGTTCAGGGGCCTTTGCTCTTGCAGAACACTTTCCTTGTAACATCAAGACCCCCAAAGCCAAAAGCCCTGCCAAAGGCCCCGCCAAAGGCCTGCTGAGGCTGCCTGGTGCAGTGCTGACCAACGGCCACCGGGCTGCGCCCCTTCAGTTGCGAAGCGATGTGTGTTGCGTCTCGAGTTGTGGCAGCATGGAAAAAAACCACCAAGCTCGACATTCGCCTGTCCAGCACTGCACATGAAGCCATGAACGTGAACCAATTCTCTGACCATCCGTGTCAGGACAGATCGCTGAGTGGCTTCGCATCTTGTCCCTCCGCTGGAAACCTTGCGAAACCCATGCCTGAAGCGCCCCCAGCATGAAGCTACAGAGTGGAATGAGCGTTCTGCTCCTCAGATGAAAACAGAAAATACTGAGGCTGTGTGGCTTGAGCCATTTTAATGGGGAACTCGCGGCTTGGAACTTGGCGGGTGCCACGACTTGCCGCCGAGCGGCGTGCAAGGTCGGGGACCTCAGCAAGGAGCCCTGCGAGCTCCTGAGCCAACTTGCGACTGCTAAGATAGCCCCAAATCGACCAGAGGCGAACCCTTTCCGATCCCGGCGCGCCTTCCATTTTCGGGCCTTCGCCAGATTCAGGAACTGGTGCTCCAAGTCCTGCCTGACTCAAAAACTCCACTTAGTTACCCTCTGTTTGCCGCTCCGGGCTGACTCTTGGATTGGGATTGAAACACACTTGCTCTCCTCTGCTCTCGGGCGCACTTCGAGAAGAGCCAAGGAACCGCCGGCCTGGCTGAGAGCTGAGCGTGGCGACGATGCAGCAGCGCCTTCCGCCCAGCGTTTTGGCTTCTGTGCGGCTACGCAATGACCCACCCCTTGTTGCATGCCGATTCCGAGGTGGGGCGATGTCGGCCATCTATCTATGCACGCCTCGAGAGCTTTAAGACATTCGACGAGGGATACAACATATGGACATTCGGCCACCACCTGGCCTGCACAACCTATTTATCGAAGCTACACAGCTCTGAGAAGCTCGTAGTGATGTACTGAAGCCGAGCTTGACCGCTGTCAGAAGAAGCTGTAGCTTTCTGATTTCTGACCCCGAAGTGAAAGCCAAGGCCGCCTTGACTTCGGTGTCCGTGGCCAGGTCCTCAAAGGTGGCGGAGCCACTATCTAACTCGCAAAGATCTCGCGCCTCGGCCTCGGGCCTAGAATTCAAAACGATCTGCAGAGGCTCGGCAGCGATTTGGCCGGCGGAGGTCTTGGCGTTGACGTCAGCCCGCACCTTGAGAAGGAAGCCTGGACTCATTGGCTTGTCGGCGTGCTTCATGCAGGAAGCTTAGTATACACACAAGGACTCTGTGCTGGCCACTGAAACAGAAGTGGCAGAGAATGCTTCAGCCATACGCAGCCTGTGCAAGCTAACCTGCGAAACAGACCTGCGGCAATCCTCTGAGGAAGTTTACCACAGGCCGCGGGACATTTTGGGCTCAAGGCGCCACGCGCGAAATGGTTTCGGACATCCACCAAATGCACTCTCTGATAGCTGGCAGGGGGTCACCACTGAATGGCGGTTGCCGGCATCATTGTGTCAAGTCGCTCACTGCATCTGCATTATTTGCCTGAGATGCCTGGTGCAATGCCTCGGAAAAAGCAGGCTTGAGTTCAAGTTGAATGGAGACTGAGAGGACATGAATGTGTTTCGTCTTTGCTGCAAGGAGTGTGGCTTGTTCGTGTGAGGCTTCGCACTGGATGGGGAGTTGAATGTGAAGACTTGCAAAAAGTAAGTACGCAGCAACCGCGGTATTGTGCAAGCAACTGGCATGACGTAAGCAAATCTACTGACATGCCCTTGCCTCAGAAGACTGATGAACCCCATCGCTAACAAGACAAAAATCGTCTTCCTTTGATGCTGACTGAGTCACCGAGAAACGGCCGCACGGCTGGGCCTGCAGCAATTGTGCGTCTGTGCGCTGATACAGTACTGAATCTCGTTCACATGGCATGCATTGCTTGAAATGCCAAACTCCCAGTTCGCTGCTTTGCCCTGAAGCCGTGTCTTCTGAGCCAGGTCTGAAAGCTCAACAGCAGTAAGCTCGGGGCATTGACCAAATGCGGCTTGCCCAGCAGGACCCGCTGCACCTGCAGTAATCGTGGAGACGGTACATATGCTTGCAAAGCTCAGCGCCCAGGAACCTGCTGCCCTTTCTCAAGATCCGTCAACCGTGTCAATCGACCTTCCGAAGTCAAGCCGGCCCGATCCATGTTGCAGGAGCTAGAGCAGCGAAAGGGAATGGTCGCACTGGATTGCCGAAAGAACTGTTCACATGGGCCTGGCATCAAGCCACCTTAGCAGTTCTGTTTTGAAGCCACAGATCGACACCTCCAGCCATTGCCGGGTCTTCGCCAAATCCAGGAAATTGTGCTGCGCTGCATCGTCCATGAGCGCGAGGGCCCGAAGCAGAACAATCTGGACAACGAATGCGCTCTTCGGCCCTTCAACATCCCCCAGGATGAGCTCCGGCCTTTGTGAAAACGAGTTTGAAGCTTCGCGGATGCTGTTCAGGGCGACCCCCAAAACAAGAGGGAACCAACAACTATTGTCTGGGATTTGGTGCCTTTTGGAGATGTACGCTTTCTGACTGAAGTGCTATGGTCCTTGTTCTAGCTACCTGACCTACAAGGCTCCAGGCAAAGCCTTTCGAGCAGCAATGCCCACGAAGGAATTGTCGATCTGACAGGCCCTGAGGCAAGAAAGCCTGGCAAGGTGTTCATCACCATCATCATCATCATCATCCGCATGCCCATCCTCATCTCCAAACGCATCCTCATCCTCATCCTCATCGTCAGCATCAACATCAGCGTCAGCATTAGCATCATTACGTGGCAACATCATGTTCTGCCCATGTTAACTCTGGAAACGAGGTGTAAAGCCGCAGCTTGAAACAGGAGGTGCTAAACGACATCAACGCCTGCGGTGTTTCTTGCGAAAGATGCCAGCTGAAACTGCAGACATTCCAGATTGACTGTCTAGGCAAGCTAACAGCACTACGACCCAATTCAACACAACATGTTTCCACAGATTTATCCACGTGCAAGCAAAGCAGAAAGAAGACCTGACGACTCCACAGCCCAGCAATTTCTGAAAGTTTGCTAGAAACCGTTGTCAGTCGGATCAAAAGGCCTGGTATTGCCAGAAACCAACCATCCTGCTGTGCAAAGAGCCAAAAAGATGTGAAAGGAAGGTTCTTCTAAAGCCCGGAAAGTGTTTTGCCATGAGAGCTTTTCGAAAGAGACTTGCAAGAAAACATCAAAGAAAAAGCACGGACATGCCTCCGCCTTGCAAGAAGTTCTCATGACTGTGCTGTAAACGAAAATATGAGGTCGCAGTTCATACAGAAGACCGAACAAGGCCTTATCCAAGATGAACTTTCTCTTCTCAGGTACTGAAGCTTGAAACTCAAGTTTCCAACTTCGGGGCTGCTCTTTTTTTCGACCCCGAAATGTCGATTTTCAGGCCGCGCGCTTGATCCATTTTGATTTCGACCCCGGCCGTGCTGAACAGGACAAGGTCGCGGCTGCTGGTAGCAAGCAGAATTCCTGAGCAGGAGCGGGGCGATTGCGAAAAACCACGCTAGCAGTATGTGTTGCTTTGAGGAGGAAATGTCCCACGAAATGCGGAGTTGCTCGTGCGAAGCTAGGCCAATGTCTTTTTAACCTCTATCTCTCTATCTTCTTTTCAGCCCCGCGACAAGGTTTACAAAGACGACAATTTTTTTCGACCTCCACTCTACGATTTATGTCTCTTTTTCTCGGCCCAAAAATATCTCGTGACTGACCTTGCGTCTTTTCCGAATCGGTGGGATCTTTTTCTGAGCCTCTATTTTCCCCACATCACTGTGGGATTTGTATTTTTATGCCGCGCACCGCCCCGCCCAGCCACGCCCCGCCCGCCCACCCCCCCCCCCGGTCGGCATGACGCGACACACCACACCTCCTCTACTGACAGGACCGCGACTGAAATGCTCTCGTCTCCGCGCGCCCACCACAGCGCACAACACCAACACTCGCACACACCACGCCTCCTCTACTGACAGGACCGCGACTGCAATGCTCTCGTCTCCGGGCTCTTGTAGGGCTCTTGTAGAACCTTTGTAGCGCTCTTGTAGGGCTCTTGTTGGATCATGCTCGCAAAAGGGTCCTGGCTCTCCCGAAGAGTCTCCCGCGACTAAAATCCTCTCGTCTTAGGGCTCTGCAGCGCTCTTGTAGGGCTCTTGTTGGATCATGCGCGCGCAAAAGGGTCCTGGCTCTCCCGAAGAGTCTCCACTCCCGCAACTAAAATCCTCTCGTCTTAGGGCTCTGCAGCGCTCTTGTAGGGCTCTTGTTGGATCATGCGCGCGCAAAAGGGTCTGGCTCTCCCGAAAACTCTCCCGCGACTAAAATCCTCTCGTCTGAGGGCTCTCTAGATGCGCGCGCAAAAGGGTCATGGCTCTCCCCAACAGTCTCCCGCGACTAAAAATCCACTCGTCTGAAGGCTCTCTAAGGCTCTTCTAGGGCTCTTGTTGCGCAAAAGGGTCCTGGCTCTCTCGAAGAGTCTCCCGCGACTAAAATCCTCTCGTCTGAAGGCTTTCGAGGGCTCTTGCAGGGGTTTTGTTGGATCATGCGCGCAAAAGGGTCCTGGCTTTTCCCGAAGAGGGTCCTGCGACTAAAATCACTCGTCTGAGGGCTCTCTAAAGCTCTTGTAGGGCTCTTGTTGGATCATGCACGCGCAAAAGAGTCCTATCTCTTCCGAAGAATCTCCCTCGACTAAAATCCTCTCGTTTGAAGGCTCTCTATAAGGCTCTTGTAAGGCTCTTGTGATCATGCGCGAGCAAAAAGGTTCTGGCTCTCCCGAAGACTTTCCCACGACTCAAATTCTCTCGTCTGAGGGCTCTCTGGGGCTGTTGTACGGCTCTTGTTGGATCATGCGCGCGCAAAAGGTCCTAGCTCTTCCGAAGAGTCTCCCGCGACTAAAATCCACTCGTCTGAAGGCTCTCTAGAGCTCTTGTAGGGCTCTTGTAAAGCTCTTGTTGGATCATTCGCGCGTACAAAAAGTCCTAGCTCTCCCGAAGAGTCTCCCGCGACTAAAATCGTTTCGCTAAGGACCGAGCAGGCGCAGTGTCGCAGGAAATTGTCCGAAATCAGAGACTTCGAAGCAGACGGAGAACCTCGAACCTGACGATCAAAGGGCGGAGGGCGGAGGGCGGCTCAGTTGCCTCGTCTTTAAGGTGAGTGGGGCGCAGACGTGGCGTTGGCCTGGTGTGGGTTCGGGTGGAGTGTAGTGGGTGTGTGGATGTGGCACAAGGCCGCTGAAGAGAACAGCAGATATGCGTGGCAGTGTTCAGAGATGTTGTAAGGTGGGCAAAAAAACACAGCGTGTGGGCATTCTGTCCACTGATCGGGACCACAGCTCTAGTTGTAGCTTTTTCCAAGTCAGCTCGACTCCAGCTCTGTCCGACTCCAGCGCTGGCACCTTTCTCTGTCTCTCTTCTCTGTGTCTCTTCCCTTCCTCTCCTTCTTTCGCCCTCCGTCCACTCCGTTTCGCATCCCTTCGAGCTCTCCAAAGACAGCATTTTAGTCATGGGAAACTGTTCCGAAGAGTTAGAACTCTTTGGCGCGCGCATGAGCAACAGTCTCACGAGAGCTCGATAAAGAGCTTCAAACTAGTCGTGTAAGAGTTTTTGAGAGAGCCAACACCTTTTGCGCAGGATTTAACAAGAGCTACAAATCTTTTAGACGAGAGGATTTTTGTCGCGGAAGATTGTTTCGGAGAGCTAGAACTTTTTTGCGTGCACAGCCAGGGCCCTTTTGGCGCATGATCCAACAAGAGTCTTAGAGAACGCTTAGAAGTGATTTTAGTTGCGGGAAACTGTTGGGAAAAGCCAGGACCCTTTGCGCGCACATGATCCAACAAGAGCCCTACAAGAGTCCACAGAGCCCGCAGTTTTCCGGAGAGCCAGCTCTTTTGCGCGCATAATCCAACAAGAGCCCTGCAAGAGCGCTACAGAGCCGCGAGTCAGAATTCTAGCATTTAGGGCTTCCAAAGAAAGTAGAATGAATACAAGGTTTAGGAAACTTCCTCTTGTAATGTTTGACTATCACTCTAGCAACTTCTATCTGTCTACATGGCTGTCTAGCTATAACTGAGAGCAAACAAAATTGGAAATCTGGGCAAAAGTTAACAAAAATGCTGCAGTTTCCGTTCAAACAAAGAACATTTAACTCGACAAATATGAGATGTATGTTTATCGAAAGAAACACTGACAGCCAGCAAACTGTTTTAGGCACTGTTTTGAAACTGGAGACCAATGATTTTTGTTCCATCTTGAGAAACACGTTCTTGTTTCTGCTTGCAGCGCTCCATTCAAAAGAGCAGCCAGCCTTGGCACAATGACAAGAAGATCTGTTCAATCACATCGATCTGTGCCATGTTTCTGCAGCCTTTAAAGCGGATTTCTGAACAATTTTTGCAAACAGGATTTGAACACCAGTGAACAGAAGAGAACCAAACGCCGCTAAATGGAACGCCAATACATCTGTGGTGCACTGATCACGTGGTGCAGAACAACATGGCATATGGCGCTGCAGCAGACTGCCGCCCAGA